GGGACCAGGAAGGGGGACCCCAGGAGGGGGCCGACGGGGGGTGGGACCAGGAAGGGGGACCTCGAGATGGGGCCGGCGGGGGACGGGACCTCGGGAGGGGGCCGGCGGGGGGCGGGACCAGGAAGGAGGACTTCGGGAGGGGGCCGGCGGGGGCGGGACCTCGGGAGGGGGCCGGCGGGGGGCGGGACCAGGAAGGAGGACTTCGGGAGGGGGCCGGCGGGGGCGGGGCCTCGGGAGGGGGCCGGCGGGGGCGGGACCAGGAAGGGGGACCTCGGGAGGGGGCCGGCGGGGGCGGGGCCTCGGGAGGGGGCCGGCGGGGGCGGGGCCTCGGGTGGGGGCCGGCGGGGGCGGGGCCTCGGGTGGGGGCCGGTGGGAGGCGGGGCCTCGGGAGGGGGCCGGCGGGGGGCGGGGGGGGCAGGGGGAAAGGGGGGGTCCTCGGGAAGGGAGGGACGGGCAGCGCCCGGCAGCAGCGGGGAGCAGGACGTCCGGAGGAGGACGCCGGTGGGCGGGAGTCGGCCGCTGCGGCTGGGGAGTGGAAACTCACGTGCCCCTCGGAAGGCTGCTGCCGTTCCCAGAATGCACCGCGGGAGCAGAGGGGGCGTTCCCTCCCCCGCCGGCGGGCGCGAGCAGCGCTCGAGGGCTGGATGGCCGCGGGAGTGGCCGCTCCCCGCGCCACAGGTGCCTGCCCGCGCGTGCGCGCGAGTGAGCCCAGCCAGGGGAGCTGAGGGCAGTTCGACCCCCTAGTTGTTATTTGGTATTATTAGCCTTGTAAATGGAAGGCTTTCCTGCGTTTATCTCTCTATCCACGTGTGTACACACACACATTTCAGCAGTGAAGCACCAGCCCAGAACACCACGAGCACACACAGTCACAGAGAAGGAGATTCATTGTCACAGAGGGGCTCCCAAGGCCGGGGAGGGAAAAACTGCGCGTCTGCGTCCACGGAGGGTTTTATATTCTAGAGCGGTGTGAGGGCAGAGGATCCCGTTACTATTTATGGCAGCTGCCAAATAGTATATAATGCTGAGACTGACCAAGGGGATGTTACTTTAAGGTGAGAGGGAGGCAGCTGGTCATCAGTTGCCTGCACCCAAAGGGCCCTTTGTTCGCCAATCTGGAAAAGGAGCATGTTAGGCTAACAAGCAGACTTAGGACCTCAAAAGAGAGAGACAATCCTTCCAGGCACAGTTAAAGAACAAATTTATTTACACCAGAAAGGGGGCCTGTGACTACCTTGTCCTAGGCTAGATACCCAGAACCAAGGGCAGCCTCCACCACAACCCTCCAAGCCTCCAATGGGCAGCCCCGACCTTTATTAGTTGGTCTACAAACCACCAATTAGTCAGTCTGCAATCCCTCCAACCCCAGACCTCCAAAGCTCCAAACCTCCAAAGGGGAAGGCTTTTCCCTTTCTTCCCTTCCTCCTTCTCTGCAGGCCTCTCCACTCTGCAGGCCTGCCCTGCTCTGCTCCGGGAGGCGTCTCTCCACAGGCCTCTCTAGAGGAAGGCCCCAGATGTCCTCTTGAGGAATTCGCCCTGCCCTCCACAGGCCTGCCCTACTCTGCTCTGCTAGGCATTCCCCTTCTGCTGTCCCTCTCTCCTCCCCCATGCCAGTGGGACTACTCTCTACTCTACTTCCCCTGCTCTCTACCCTACTCCCCTCAAGACTTCCGGTCTTTCGCCTACTCTCCTCAGGACTCTCAGGACTTCCAGTCCTTCCCCTACTCTCCTCAGGACTCCCCCCACCCCTCCCCTCAGGCTGTGCCCCTCCCTTTCAGCGGCATGCCCCTCCCCTTTCAGCGGCATGCTCCTCCCCCTTTGGCAGCATGCCCTGCCCTCCGATGGCACACTCACTGTCAACTCACTGCCAGCATGTCCTCAGTAATTTGTTCAAAATGGGAATTAGTATGAAACACTGATTACATATAGGGGAATGTGCTTTATTCTTATAACTGAAAGTACCCATCCCAGAAAAGCACATGGACACAGTCACATACAGCAAAAGGAGTTTATTGCCAGCAGAGCTGACAAGGCCATCTCCCTCAAAGGAGAGGGAGAAATGGTACCCATCTTTTTCAGGGGCATCCTTTTATAGTTGGGGCTTGGGGCGGGAGGTATTCCACATCTGCCACTGGTCACTGAAGACAGTGTGCAGGCAGGGCGGAGTTTAGGCCTGAGTGGAGGGTGTTCTGCTAATGCAGCTGGGGGCTAGAGGTACATGCTGAGGGCCTAGGATGGAGACTGTCAAACCTCAAATGGAAGAGGACCTATGAACAGTCCCTCTGCAGCCATGATTAAAGTCTGTCTGATCTGCTGAGATCTCTTGATTTCTTTATCTTCCTTTCAGTTTCCTAACAATATCTACACTGCACAATCTTCCACTTAGTGACTTGGCTTGTTTTTTTTTTTTTTTTTTTCTTAAGTACTAGGAATACTAGGATAAGAATTTAAGTGTAACTTCCCTTTAAGGACTAGATCAAATGCCTCAGGATAAACCTGTCTAGATTCCTTCCTTGCTACTGTGGCACTCATTGTCATCCCTACACTCTTCCCAACAGTTACCAATACTACTGATAATGTATTTTTTTTTCACTGTGAGCAGAGTCCACCACAGCCTTTTCTGGCTCCTCAGCCAGCAAAGACCTTGGGTTCCAGCCCTATAGCCAGTGTGGCTGCTCCACTGATAGAACTGTTGCTGTAGCCCTCTTAGGTTTTTGTCCCATGAACTCAATAAATGAGTCCAGGACAAATGATATCCAAGTCAATAGAGGTTGAGTGTGAAGAACTTTATTCACAAGTATCTTGGTCACAAGACACTGTTGTACTGTCTTTGTCTCTGTGTCCATTGTGTGTTTTCTGTCCCTGCAATTTGCTCTGAATCTAGGGGTTTTTATACCCTGGGCTGTACTCTGATTGCTTGCTTTTATTATAGTTAGGTGTTTTGGAAAGTAATACTTTGTTGGTCAGGTCCCACAACACTCTGGTTGGCTGTTAGTTCTTAGATTATAGTAACTGGAGGGACAGAGGCGAGATATTTTGAAACATTTCCCCCCCCCCCCTCTCTTTCTGCCAGTCTGGGGCTTGAACTCAGGGCCTGGACACTCTCCCTGAGCTTCATTTGCTCAAGGCTAGCACTCTACCACTTGAGCCACAGTGCCACTTCCAGTTTTGTTTTTGTTTTTTGGGGTCCGGTCCTGGGGCCTGAACTCTGGGCCTGGGCACTGACCCTCAGCTCTTCAGCTCAAGGCTAGAACTCTACCACTTGAGCCACAGCGCCACTTCCGGCTTTTTCTTTTTGCTTATGTGATGCTGAGGAATCGAACCCAGGGCCTCAGGCATGCAAGACAAGCGCTTTACCACTGAGCCACCTTCCCAGCCCCGCCACTTCCAGTTTTTTCTGTTTAGTGGTACTGAGGAATTGAACCCAGGGCTTCATGGATGCTAGGCAAGCACTCTACCACTATGTCACATTCCCAGCTATCCACTCTTCTTAAATGGTGTCTCTTGCAACTGATTTCAGCTTGATATGCCAAGATCCTATCCAAAGGCCCTGGGATCTACTTTACTTGTCCTACACTGTGTGGCCCCAGGATAAATAGTTAAACAACCGAATAAAAGACCAAAACTTAGTATTTATCTCTCTTTACCTTTTTAGAAAGATTGTATCTTAATATGCATAACAGAAATTTGCTGTTTTATCCATTTCAGTTCAATGGCACTAAATAGACTCATGTTGTCATGCAACAATCCCTATTAGGACTAATTTTAAACACTGGTGGGATCTTGATGATACTGCAGATATGGAAATGACAATTTACCACACTCAACCAAACATCATATGTTTTTCACTTTCCAGAGAGAAAACATTTTTCTAAGATACTGTGCATTTCCTTAGAACTCTGAACAGTTTGAATTAGCTTGGTTGTAGTGTAGGAACTTAAAATCAACCTTGCTAATTTAAATCTTGGCTCACTGTGTGACCTTGAGCAAATTACCTAATATTTCAGTGACCATTTTTAAAGCAAAAATCACATTAATAGTATTTATCTTAGAGAACTGTGGAACAATTATTAATTTAATGAGTAGTTGTAGATACTCTATACTTAGCATATAGTTAGTGCAATGTAAGAATTCAGTACTTTTTTTCCTATGAGAAATAATATTTTCAGTCTCTCCCGCTGGATTGAAAGTGCTGTTTTGTAAAACAGGGATGATTTGAGGGAGGGAATCAATGGGAGAGGGAAATGTTAGAAATGGAGTCAAAGAAAAGGAGGACACCAAAAGACAACTGCCTCATTTTTCTTCTTCGTTCTAGTCCTGGCCTGTGAACGCTGGGCTTGGGAGCTGTCCCTGAGCTCCTTTTGCTCAAGGCGAGGAGGGCCCTACCACTTTAGCTACAGCACCACTTCTGTCCTCCCGGGATATTGGAGATAAGAGTCTCAAGTGCTTTTCCTGCTCTGATTAGCTTCCAACTCTGATCCTCAGATCTCAGACTTCTGATTAGCTAGGATTACAGGCTTGAGCCACAGGTGCCTGGCAGAAAATTGCCTTGATAAAGCAAACCTTTACTTCTGTAAAAGGGATGCCATGGACAAGAATCTAAGCAAACATGCACTGGGCAGGAAGTTGCCCAGCTTTTATCCCTAATGCAGCAGGCCCTTCCCCTCTACTTGGTTCACAGTCTGTCCTGATTGGCAGTGAACTTCAGGTGGGAAGTTTTGTTGACAGGCTCTTAACAAAGGGATCATGGGGAAACATCTGGCAGGACAAGGAAAAAGAGCCTGGAACTGGACAAATAAAAGTGGAATTTTACAAGGGAAAATAATACACTATGACAGAAAAAAAAATCTACTTCTTACAAGGAAAAAGAAAGGCGTATGGGAATTGAATATTATATATCATATATAATATCTATAAATTATATATAAATGAAAATAGCATAATAAAATCCACTAAGAATTGTTAAGAAGGAGGAAAAGAGATTTAAAAAGAGTAATATAAGACAGGTGCTGGTGATTCAAGCCTGTAATCCTAGCTACTCAGGAGGCTGAGAACTGAGAATTACAATTCAAACCTAGCCTAGGGAAGGAAAGTCTGTGAGGCCTTTTTAATCTTCAATTATGTACCACAATGTTGGAAATGGAGCTGTGGCTTAAATGGTAGAGTGCTAGTCTTGAGCACAAAAGCTCAGGGATAGTGCCCAGGCCCTGAGTTCAAGCCCTACGACTGGCAACAAAAAAAGTAATATAGTGGAATGCTTTTGATCAAAGTATGTAATTTTCATGTATGTAAATATCACAGTGAAGCCTCCTTATATAACTAATTTTCATTAAGAAAACATTGAAAGGAGTTGGGAATGTGGCTTAGTGGTAGAGTGCTTGCCTAGCATGTATGAAGCCCTGGGTTTGATTCCTCAGTATCACATAAACAGAAAAAACTGGAAGTGGCGCTGTGACTCAAATGGTAGAATGCAAAAGAAGCTCAGGGAGAGTGCCCAGGCCCTGAGCTCAAGCCCCAAGATTGGCGGGAAATAAAAAAGGAAAAAGAAAAAAAAATGTGTATTTGCTACCACACTGAAGGTGATAGCACATGCCTATAACCTCAGAATTTAGGAGGCTTAGACAGGAAGATCATGATTTTCAAACCAGTCTGGGCTACATATCAAGACTGTCTCAAAGTACACACACAAACACACACACACACACACACACACACACACACACACACAGAAGAAAAAACAATGTATTTGAGTGTGGACTTAAATTTTTATTTATTTGTATATGGGCACACTTAAGAAATTAAGATGAATGACAACTATTTCATGAACTTTTTGGATGGACTTATTTCAAAGTAGGTGACTGGGGAAGGAGATGGTTAGGAAAATGACACTTCTTTGATCTAAAGAGCTCAGTAGCCTCCAGGAGCCTTTTGATGTACTTGGAAAGCTCTACCACGACAAAGTAAGTTTTACATTGGTCTTTAGGAGACACAGTTTGCCAGGATTATTTTATTCCAAGGGAAGAATAAGGTGGGATGATGACATCAGCAGGAAATTAATATGTTACTTAGTCTTGAAGACTAGTTTTAACTCACAAAGTCATTGAGTTCTTTTCCCACACAAAAGGGAACTTCCCACTAAGGATTCTAACTTATTTTCAGGCAATTTCCCTGAAAATCATTTACCACAAGAGGATCATTACCTACCCCTACAGGTATGTAAGAAACCTCCCCAAGCCGCTCAGCCCCAATTACCCTTTTCTTTGTTTGATGAACGAGAAAAATTTCAAAATCTCTTGTCTATCCTGGTCCTATTTCTGCCTGGATTTCATTACTCTGCTAGGGAAAAATAAATTAGCTGAAAACCAACATGGCCTTTTACCAGCAGAAATACTCCTTGTTCATAAACTGGCGAATTTGGCAGAGTAATTAAGGCTACATACATTTTCAGGAAACCACAAGATAAATGATATGCTAGAATAGGAAGATATTTCTAAGAAATATCTTAGAAGGGAGGACCCTAAAGCATGATTGTATTAAAAACAGTGATTTGGGGGTTGTTTTAGGTGGTGGTTGTTGTTGTTGTTGTTTGAGTCTTTAACTCCAGTCTGAAATGATCCTTTAGTCTCAGTCTCAGCCCACCCTCAGCCTCTAGTAGACTACAGGCTATGATTATCAAGCCGGGGTCGTACCTTTGTTTTTTTGCTTTCTTCCCTCCTCTTCTTCCTCCTCCAGCTCTTTCTCCTCTTTCTCCCCCCCCCCCCATCTTCTTTCCCTCTTCCTCATTTTGTGAGGGTCCTGGAACTTGAGCTCAATGCCTCTTATTCTCAATCGGCTTTTCAATCATGGTTGGCACTCTGCCACTTGAAACACATCTCTATTTCTGGCTTTTTTTGCTGCTTGATTAGAGATAACAGTCTCTTGGATTTGTCTGCCCAAGCTGGCTCTGAACAACAGAGTTCCTCCCATCCCAACCTCCTGAATAGCTGGGATTACAACTGTGACTTGAGTTCTTCCTTCTGAAGTGTCTACTAACTCAAGGTTGTTTTGTTACTGAAACTTAAAATGGATGTCAAATGATGTTTCTGCCATTTGCTAGATACGTTTGAGGTTTAACTAGATTTCTATGCCTGAGAGAAATTGTGTGATGTCTCTCCCCGCAAGACTCTTTGTCATTGGGAAGAAATCTGAATAAATTGAATTCCAACAAGAATACCCTCCAAATCTATTAGAAGGTACCTTGCAAATCTTGGGGTAGAGCTTCCTATACTGTTGCCTTTTGAGGGAGTTTATAGTATTTTTAATTTTTTTCAGCACTCTAGAATGGTCTAATGCCCAGAATAGAGGGAGTTTGGTTAAGGGAGAAGTATAGTTTCCCTATGTCCTTACTTACTAGAGTCTTGCCAAACTCCTTTTGTCTCTTTTAGGCTGGCCATGACATATCAAGGTCAAAGTCTGTGTTCTAGTCATCAAATAAGCTTTGGAGAGATGCTTCTGATTATTGATTGGAGGCTGCGAGTCCAGTTGGGCACGAAGTTCCTCTGCCTCTACTTAGGCTCCCACAAGAGGCTGGAAAAATGCAACCGAGCCTCAGATCTTTTTGACCATCTTAGAAGGACAACAGCTGAGTGAAAATAACACTTGTTCTAGCAGAACTTCTTTACAGAATCAAGCAGAATTGTCTAGTGAAGCACCTCAGCTACACCAAAGAGCAGGTAGAGCATCAGCTGCTCACCCACTGGAAGAAGGTCTTTCTGTTCAGGATCTCTGATCCTGGGAGATAGATAGGTTTTCCAACTAGTGTGCTTTCAGGCCATTGAGTTTTGAAAGGAAGCTGGGAATAAGGTCTTTTTCTTTATCTTCCTCCATGAAGGATTAATCAGAGATGTCACCGATTCTAGGTGAGGGTTTATGAAGGTTCCCTCCAGAAGTAGGGACCCTCCACTTACAGTTTTAGTCTTAGGTTCTTGACTTTGATTTCAGAATAAGAATATCCAGTCAAGTCATAATAGTAAGAAAACTTGGCAGAGCTGTGTTGAGTACGCAAGCGAGCAAGCAAGCAGGCAGGAAGGCAAGCAGAGAGGAAGAGGCATACTCTAATAGACCCAGTGTGGGTGTTCAATGGGAGACACAGGGAGCTCTTTGATATCAGGGCAATATACGATAAGAGGCAGGGTTTTAGGATAACTGTTTTCCTTTGTTCTCACACCTGGCACATTGAATCATGCTCATCTATTAGGAAGAATAATATGTCACTTGCAAGGAAATGGATGGATTTAGAAATATTATATTAAGTGAAGTAAGTTAGGCTTAGAGATGAAGACCACGTGTTTTCTCTCACATGTGTAGGTTAGATCTAAACTGAAAACATATACAGGGACGTATGCATGTATACACAATCAAACTGATTAAAGTAGGGTATACACAATGAACTGACAGTCTAACAAAATGAATACCAGGAAGCTGAAATGTGTTTTGTCTGAAGTGGGTAGGACTTAAGGGGAGGGAGGCAGGTGAATAGAGAGGCAGGGTGGGTGAACAGAGTCATAATATTAAATGTACATGTATGAACATGGAGCCAGGTCACTTGAATGGATGGGTGTGGTTAGAACAGATAAGGCAGGGAGAAGATGGAAGGGTCACACTAATCAAGATGCATTGTTCTCATAAATTGCCATGTTGAATGGAAACCTCTGTACATTTACTTAAAGATAATTAAAAAACCCAAACTCACCGCATTCCACTAAAGTTATCCTTTATAAAGAAAAGACTGAAGGTGATAGGTACCACTGAGGGTGTGGAGAAAAGGGACCACGTGCACACAGTTTGTGGGAGAGCAGTATAAAAGTTCTTAAAAAAAGAAACATAGCCGGATGCTCGTGGCTCACACCTGTAATCCTGCCTGCTCAGGAGGCTGAGATCTGAAGATAATGGTTCAGAGCCACCCAGACAGGAAAGTCCATGAGACTTGTATTTCCAATTAACCAGAAAAAAGCCAGAAATAGAGCTGTGGCTCAAGTGGTAGAAAGCTAGTCTTGAGCAAAAAAACCTCAAGGACAATGCTCAGGCCCTAAGTATAAGCCCCAGGTCTGCAACTAACTAACTAACTAAAATAAAATAGAACTACTACCATAGAATCCAGCAATCTCACTATTGGATTCTCTTCCATGGAAGAGAAATCACTATGTCACAGAGAAATTTGCACTCTCGTGTTTTTTTTTGTCGGTCATGGGGCTTGAACTCTGGGCCTGGGCGCTGTCCCTCAGCTCTTCAGCTCAAGGTGAGCACTCTACCACTTGAGCTACAGCGCCACTTCCAGTTTTCTGGTGGTTTATTGGAGATAGGTGTTTCACAGTCTTTCCTGCCCGGGCTGGCTTTGAACCGTAATCCTCAGATCTCAGCCTCCTGAGTAGCTAAGATTACAGGCGTGAGCCACCAGTGCCCAGCTCACTCTTGTGTTCTTTGCAACACTACTTACACAGCCAACAAACAGAAGAGCGCTAAGTGTCCATCCACTGAATGGGTAAAGAAAGCATGGTACATAGTCAGAGTGGAGTACTACCCAGCCATAAAAAGAGTGAAATCTGTTATTTATGACATGGATGGATCATGAGACCATTATGTTAAATGAAATAATGTAGGCACAGATTCACTTGTGTGGAAACTCAAAAGCTGATCTTAAACAAGTTGAGAGCAGAAGAGTGGTCACTATTAATTCTGGGTTTATGGCTGGCTCTGCCACTTGCTGGCGGAGCTTGTCACAGCTTCCTAATAGATGCTGTGAACTGAATTAACAATGGTGAAGATTATTGAAGGTCCAGGCACTTTTTCTAATGCTCTATTAGCTTCATCTCCCATAATTTTTTCAGATAGGGGTTCCAAAGCTGGAGCCTGAGGACTGTGTTTTTTTGTTTGGATGGACTGTGAAGCCAAGTAATTAATTCCAGACTCTATTTTGCCGTCTATAACATGGGAGAGCAATCTGCTCTGTTTCTGTAATGATCAGGTAATGCACAACGGTGGTGTAGCCTGTAGTTGTGCTGGTGTGGTGCTTTGTACAAGT